AGCGGGCATACATCTCGAACTGACATGTTTCTTCTCTTCAAAACATCCGTCGTGGGGAGTGAATGGTGAGCAAGTCTCCAAAGGAAGATTCTCACCTTCGACGGGATTCTCAATTTCCACAGAGAGGTCCAAGCTTGTTAATCCTTTTCAGTGTGAGATGATCCGGTACCACCGTTTATCCACTCCTTCCTCTGCATCTTTGTCTTAAGCAAAAATTTATAGGTTGATCTGACGCTGAATTTTCCTTTCTTGTCCGGGTACCAAGCCCAAAAATCCTCTATATTATGTGTGCATACCAGGATCTTCAGAATCGCCTTGGCATCTATAGGCAGGAACACTGTCTGGACTAGAGCCTCATTCCATGAGGCTGTTGACGGGGAGAGCAACTCTGAAACATACCTCGGGGGGTTGGCAACCAGCGACGTGATGGGCCTTGGTGTCATCTCCTTTGGTATCCAGTTATCATTACATATCTCCATTGTTTGTCCATTGCCAATCCGACAGATGATTCCCTGCTTAACCAAATCCAGCCCCTCCAAGATGGCTCGCCATATTTGAGACGGTCTAGACCCCAACCCAGGGCTAAGGATTGTCCTGTCAGGATAGTATGTTGCCTTCGGTATTCTAGCACTCAAACTCATTGGTTCTTGCAAGAGTCTCCAAGCCTGACGCGCCAATAAAGATAGATTGAAAATTTCAAGATCTCTAAAACCCAGTCCACCAAGGTGTTTCTGGCATGTCATCACGTCCCATGACACTCACGCCGGCTTGCGTTCTCCCTGTTTGCAGCCCCACCAAAACTTTCTGATGATGGATTTGATATGATCACATAAGCCTCTAGGGAGTTTGAAACATGACATAGAAAACACTGGGATAGCTTGGGCTACCGATTTAATTAACACATCTTTCCCACATGCAGACAAACATTTGCTCATCCACCCCTTTACCTTGTCCCATACTTTGTCACTCAAGTATTTGAATGTCCCCTTCTTAGAATGACCCACGTCTGTTGGCATGCCCAAGTATCTGTCACTCAAAGACTCATTGGCAACTTGCAAGTGGCCTTTGACAGCAGCACGTACTATCTCTGGGCAGCCCTTGCTATAGAAAATCGATGATTTCTCTTTGTTTATCCTTTGGCCCGAGGCCATGCAATAAGTGTCCAACAGGTTTGATACTGCTTCAGCTCCATCAACACTTGCCCTAAAAAACAGCAGGCTATCATCCGCGAATAAAAGGTGGTTCACCGCCGGTGCCGTCGGTGCTACCTTAATGCCGCTGAGCTGGGATGATTGGTTCCGTGATTTTAAGAGGCACGAAAGGCCCTCTGCTGCTAACAAGAAATGTATGGAGAGATTGGATCTCCCTGTCGAATACCCCTTGAAGGTTTAAAAACTTCTGACTTCACACCATTGAACATTACTGAAAAAGAAACTGAGCTCACCATGTTCATCACCACTGACACCCAAGGTGCCACAAAACCCAACTTCTCTATGATTGATCTCAAGTAAGTCCACTCCACACGATCGTATGCCTTCATCATATCAAGGTTCAGAGCTGCATAACTGTTGTTCTTTGATCTGTTCCTCTTCATGAAGTGTAAACATTCATATGCCGAGATTATGTTGTTAGTTATTAGCCTTCCTGGGATGAAAGCCGACTGCTCCTCTGATATAATCTCTGGGAGAATTAACTTAAGGCGATTCGCTAGCACCTTCGAAGCGATCTTGTAAAAAACGTTACACAAACTTATAGGGCGGAACTGAGAGAGCAAGGTTGGATTTGATACCTTCGGAATAAGGACCAGCAGGGTATCATTCAAGCACGCAGGACTCTCCTCGCCCCTCACAATAGCCAAAACTGCCCTTGTGACCGCTTCGCCACAAACATCCTAGTGTCGCTGAAAAAAGTGAGCTGGAAACCCGTCTGGACCTGGAGCTTTTGTGGGAAACATCTGGAAAAGAGCGGTCTTAACCTCCTTCGCCTCATACGGGGCCAATAGTGAGGCATTCATCTCCGGAGTAACCTTCAAAGGGACATGTTGGAGAACGTCCTGTATTCCCTCAACACCCTTTGTGGTGTATAGCTGTTTGTAAAAATCAAAAGCCATCTTCTGCATTTCAGTTAGCTTCGTGGTCACCTGGCCATCTGGCTTTTGCAGAGCTTTGATCAAATTCTTCCTCCTCCGCATGGAAGCCCGCATGTGAAAGAATCGGGAGTTCCGATCCCCCGCTGATAGCCACTCAACCCTAGATCGTTGTCTTCACATCAGCTCTTCTCGCAGATAGAGTTCAATCAGGCGGTCATTAATCTTGATCTCTGCATGGGAAGGGCCGACTCTCATGCAGTCACTCCGCAAGCGATCTAGCTCCTTCTTTAGACAGCGATTTCCCCTCTTACACTCCCGAACGTGGTTCGTGACCAGTCGCCCAGATTATTTGCTAAAGCCTCGAGATTCGCTCGGACTTCCCCACTGTTAGATTATGGCCATTGGGCTCCCATGCTGCATGCACCGTAGGTTTCAAGTCTGGGTGAGTCTCCCACATAACCTCGTACCTGAACTGCCTGACTTTTTTGGCTCCTCCATTCGGTTGGGTTAGCTGCAGTAAGATGGCCGAATGATCCAAGGTCGCGGCTGTGATATGTTCTACAACCGCCGATCGGAACAAACTACACCAGTCCACTGAGCCCAAAGCCCTATCCAGCCTGACTCGAGTATACGAGCCTCCTGCTACTTTCTTCTCATAGGTCCACTTTAAGCCTTTGTAGCCAAGATCGACTAAACCACATATGTCAACGACATCTCTGAAGCCCTGGATTTGTGATTGACTCCTGTTCCAATACCGTCATGTTCATCATGCCTCAACACCTCGTTGAAATCTCCTATGCACACCCAAGGCAAATCTTGGAGAGTGGACAGGTTTTTCATCGTGCTCCAAGTTTGATGGCGAAGGTGGGTCTGAGCTTCACCATAGAAAAGAGAGAGCCTCCATGGTTGATCCCCTATGTCAGTTATCTTGCAATCAATATGATATCTCGAGTAACCCAAAATCTCGTTTCTTATTTCATTATTCTAGAAAATAGCCAAACCTCCACTCCTACCGGAGGGATCAACAACAAAAGAACAATCATAACCTAAAGTAATTTTCAAATTTTCAGCTCTTGCCCCACTGATCTGGGTTTCAACTAAACAAAGTACTCTAGGGGCAAACTCATTCGCGAGTTTGCGCAACTCTTGGACTGTCGGGGTGTTGCCAATCCCCCGACAGTTCCAACACAGAAAATTCATTGCGTCCGATGGTCCTCCGCCGTGGAGGCCGCCGATCTCGCGTCCGAGTTCTTTCCCACATTGGGGTTTTTCTTCATTGCACCACCTGTTCCATCCTTCTCCATCGAAGTTCCTGTGCTTCCCAACTGCCCTGTCAGTCTAGACCGCTTTGGTTCTTACTTAGGGGGAGGGCTAGTCGGCAATGTACCTCCACTCGGCTTCATTACCAGGACCAGTTCCAGCCCCGTTGATTTAGGGTTCGGGGATCCAGCAACTTGGTCGGACGAGCGCTTCTTGTTGTTGTCCAAATCCATGCCTTCATCTGCTCTTGTTTCCTCATGGCTTGCCGTAGGGCTGTGTGCTACATGCACCTCTTGCTTCTGATTCTGCTGATTCTTGTTTCAGCGTCGAGTTCCCCAAGTAGTGGTTGCCAGAGCACGGAGATTTTTGAACACAAGAGCAGAGGGTGGATGCACCCCGTCGCCATGTTCTTTGAACTCGTGACCCACCATGCCACATACCTGGCACCAATCGGGCAAGCGCTCATACCGCACCACAAAAATCTCCCTCTCTCCTCCCCGGATCAAGGATATAGCTTTCTTTAGTGGGTTGCGGACGTCCAATCTGATTCTGACTCTAAAAATTTCCTTCGGAGTCAAAAGATGAAGACTCGGAGTCGACAAACTCACCAATCTTTGATGCAAGCGCCTTGACCTTTCCATGGAAAGTGATCGGAAGATCGATGATTCTTGCCCATATCTCAAGGAGGGCTTCGTATATCCATCGTACGGAGCGATAATCACAGGATTTCCCTTGAAGTGCCATGGACCACCCTGGGTAACACGCTCCCAGTCTCCCAAGCAATCAAACTGCATCTGAAAAAGGTTTTCCTCCAAGGTTTTAATCTTGACTGGCATCGCTAGTTCCCATGCTGATATCATGTTACAAAAGGATCAATAAGTGCTGAAGCCCTTGTCCATATGAACTCGGGCTAGAACCATCTAGCGGAGCGCCTTCTCTGCTGGGGCATCGTCGTCCTCGAAGATCACATCATCGAGGTCATCTTCTTTGAGGGTCAATTCCTTCATCATCTCCTCCAAGTTTCCTTTTCCTTTACGGTCAGCCGCCGACGAACTCGGGCCAGCCATATGGATCTGTCACAGAAGGAGTAGGATCTTCTCGAAACACCAACCCTAGCCCCTCGGCGATGAGAGATCAACGCTCGGGCCTTAGCAACAATAGGGCTGCCTCGATCCCAGGAAGCAGAGCTCCAATCCACCGGCGGAAGGGACGATAGATCTCAACGTCGCCAAGGCGACGAGAGGAACGAAACCCTAACTAGAAGGAAAAAAGAGATCTAAAAAAACATCTTGCATTATACAGGAGTCTAAGGCCACAAGCACCTCCCCTCTAAAACAAACACTTTTGAGATGCCTCCCGGGAGCATGTGCTCTGGGGCGCATGAGCATGCCCATGCGCAGATATTTTGCATACACGATCCATTTTCTGACCGCCGACACCCACGAGTCCCATCCATCCCTTTCCCCGTTTCACTGCCACTGCCTCCGCCCGTCTGACGACTCCTGACGGCCGGACCTGCCGGCGGCCGGCCAGAGGCGCCGCCGCCGCCGCCGCTGCAAGGTATCCATCCATCTGTCCCTCCCGCCCCGTCCTCTCCACCACAGCCATGCCGGTCTGACGATTCTCTGCCTCGCACCGCAGCGCCTCCGGAATGCCTCCAGGGAAGAGACACGGGAGCGCGCCGCCGCCGGTGCGCGGCGCGGACCGCATCGGCGCGCTGCCCGACCCCATCCTGCAGCACGTCCTCTCCTTCCTCCCGGCGCAGGCGGCCGTGCGGACGTGCGTGCTGGCCCGGCGCTGGCGCCACCTCTGGAGATCCACCAGGGGCCTGCGCGTCGTGGGCCTCGACGGCGCGGACGCCGTCCAGGGCCTCCGCAAGTTCATGGACCACCTGCTGGTCCTGCGCGACCGCGCCGCCGACCTGGACGCCGTCGAGATCAGGTTCGACCGGTTCTCGGTGGCCGACGACGAGGCCTACGTGAACCTCTGGACCCGCTTCGCCGTCATGAGCAGGGTCCGCGAGCTCACCGTCCACATCGGCGCCTCCTCGTACCTCGACCTAGACAACCTGCCTCTCGTCTCCCAGCACCTGCGAGTCATGAACCTCGACGGCCTAAGCCTGCAGCAGAAATTTCTTGATCTAGCAGGCTGCCCGGCGCTGGAGGTTCTGAATATGCAGCATTGCGACATCAGTGTTGGTAGGATATCCTCCCGTTCCCTGAAGCATTTGAGCCTCAGAAGCTGCCGCTCCAACTCGAATTGCTGGGTCCATGTTTCTACCCCGGGCCTCGTCTCCCTGGTGCTGGTTAGATTTGGGGGCACAACCCCTTTTCTTGAGAACATGGCGCTGCTAGAGACTGCGCGTCTTGATCTTAGCGATGACTTCGATGTCTGTTTCGATTACGACTCCGATGAGAATTCTGTTCCTTTCAATAAAGATGACAGTGGCGATTCCGTGCTCCTGGGTGCTCTCTCAGGTGCCAAACATCTTGAGCTGGTATCTGCATTTCAAAATGTATGCTACTACTCTTCAACTCCTTCTGTTATCCCCTTTTTTTTGTGGCGCACTGTCTACAATGTTGCTAGGCAATAACCGGGTTGCATACGCATCACCATCTATTGGGGGTGCCTTAGATCATCAATTTGCGTACCATCTGGTTAAGGATTGCTTGATTTATTTACATTTTTTTCCCAGTTCGTTTTCAGAAGAGATTTGAGACAGTGCCCTACATTCAGCAAGTTAAAGACTTTATTACTCAATGAGGACTGGTCTGAGGCTCCTGACTTGGATGCACTAGCTTGTGTTCTGAAACACTCACCAGTTCTAGAGAAGCTCACTCTTCAGCTCTTTACCAACAAGGTAAAAATCTTCGAAATGGACAATTAATTGCTACACTGCTGAAGTTATTATCGATCATTCATCTTTGTTGGTGTTCCTGCTTACCATAGGGACCAAAACAAGAAATGAAAATGAAAGGAAGCTACAGTTCAGCGGAGAGGTCGGCTGCAATATCAGAGCACCTTAAAATAGTTGAAGTCCAGTGCAATGTGGTCAATCAGGGAGTTTTCAAAGTTTTGAAGTTCCTCTGTGCATTTAATATACGTAAGCACTTTCCATACTCTTTATGTTCTGAAATTAGCTTTCGTATGTGGGAACGAATCTGTGAAAGCAAGCAGTGAAGAATAGGCTCCTGAATTATGTAGGAAGAACAGCCTGTAGGGGTACCAAATTATTTCAGGCATGGGGAAATCTGAACCACATCCGATAGGAGCACAAAGAAAAACCAATATTATCCATTTTGTCAGCAAAGGAGGCTTTAGTTTAGCTGTGTTGCATAGACAGTGAGTGTAAAACGACATGTGTACTTGTTGATTGGTTCTGGTCTCTTTTGGGCACTAGCGCAAATATTTGAATCAATTAATTCAGAGTAGGGAATCTAGGGATACAGTATCTTCACATGTTGATTAGTTTTGAAGTCTGAACATCAACTCAAGTTCTGCAGGAATACATCTTTTCGCTCTTTTTGTTTTAGAAGAATAGTCGGTGCTAATCAGTAATGTTTTTTATGAGCTTTTTAGATGAGCAGGTCCTTGCCCTTATGGGCTAATGTTACTCCGCACTTGATTCTCCATCATGCGGAATAACTGCAGTATGATATCTCTTTACATTATATAAACATAGTGGCAACTGTATGATGTTCCTGCATTATAGTTTTGCTTGTGATTCCTCTGTTTGCTCCTGGGAAGTCCCCACTGTTTACATAACATATTTTTCTTCTTTCAAAACGAGTATGTACATCACATGTCTACTAGTGTATGCCATGATTCCTTACTTCACTTTTCATTTGCCATGAAACTGCTTATGGCATAGATGCTCTCTTGTTATATTGTCAGAATAAGCTAGAAATGGCCGTATGAAGTATAATCAAAGTTTTTCTCATAATTCATATTAATTTGTGCCTGGTAAAGTGAATGTCCTTCAATCTTACCGAAGTCTGTTCCAGTATCTTCATTTCCATTGGCATGAAAGTGTAACTGAGCATTCTACTTGTGCATATACGCCAGACTCTTACGTTATCTTTTCATTTATATACAGGATTCAATTTTGAGTAGGGGTGAGAAGATGTGGGGCGTCAGTTAGTCCCGCCATCTCGTGGTTATTCAGTTGATTTGCCATTGTGACAAGGTTTCCAAGTCTTTTTTACATGTGTATCTGATACCAGTTTTGACAGTTTGTTCAAGCCAAAAGAGACCAGAATAATTTTGCACATGAGATTGCTGTTGTTGTTCGTAGAACAGGAGCCGGAGCTGTTTCGAGCTCTGCCGTTCCTGATCATATAGCTCATGTAATTAACACTGTACTGTAACTATCTTCGCAAAAAAAAAAAACACTGTACTGTAACTATCTTGTCATGTGTATTGAATAAATCTCTTTTGGCCCTCATTTTTCTTCTTTACCAATTCTACTCAGGAACGGTGTAGAATCCGCAGTAGTACTTGCATAACTTGTGAACTCTAGGCCATATATCTAGTTGGATTTGGTTTTATCGTATCCTGCGAATCTCTGATGCAATTTTTGTCCATGTCAAGAATTATTCAGCTTATGGACTGGCTAGTGCTCTCTTTGCAATTCTTCTTGGCTTCGGCGCATGTTTTGTTCTGTTGTGATCTGATCCGTTTGTTATCTCTCATGTACCAAGATTTGGATGCATGGAAGAGTGCAGAAATCGGTGTTAAGAGTGCGGAAATTCAGAGATTACATCTCGAGTCAGTGAAGGCCAGCACATCAATAACACTACATTCACATGGTGCCTGTTTTATAGCTTGATAAAACCTAGAGAACATTCACATTACTCCCCATACTGAGAGCAAAAGACACTGAAACTGATACTAACAAAACTTGAAACAACCATACTCGCCGTTCGTCCCAAAAGTAGCACCCTTCACTTGCCTAGAACCCACCATTCGACGGCGCGCCGGTACGGGTACCCAAACCTATGCGCGAAGGTCGGCTCACGCTCACTCTGCGGAGGTTGTTCGGCCTGAACGTGGCGCCTCCACGGGAGAGCATGTTGGCCCTCTCGGCGTTCTTGCAATGGCCTTCTCCTCTTCGCTCTTACTCGACCATCCACTCCTCGAACCTCGCCTTCATTGCTGCCTCCTTCTCCGCGTCCCGCTCCTCGGCGATCACCTCCTCCAGCGTCGCCGCGTTCTTGTCGGTTAGGGCCCAAGCTGTGGGCACGACAAGGTTTGTATGTTCATATATATGATTAGGTAACATGTCACGAGGAGCTGAAAGAAAAGGAGATCAAAGAAGGGGTTTCCCCCTTCCGATTTTCATCACTGAAAACCAGCTTGCAGAACCACAATATTCAACCTAACGACTAACATAATGCAAGGCAGCGCCGCAAACCCTACACGAACCAACATCACCAAAAACCATCAGGCCTACAAGTCTGCCTATCATCATCATCCCGGATATAACAAAGTTCACGAGGGCACCAGAGAAACTAACAGCAAATAAACTACTAAAACACGGCAGCAACATATATAAAGGCACACATCTTCAGCAGCCAGCAGAGTCTTCTATTTTCAGCCCTCCAGCCTTGCCATTCCTACCTGAAGATTCAGATGTTGGTTGCTTCTGTGTTTTTGTTTTCTGAGATACAGCTTTGCTCCGATCAAGGCGGCAGACAAGGCCCCCACCGCCGCGACGCTAGCACGCAGCTTGTTGTTGCCTCCCATCGGCAAACTGCAGAGGTTGTTAATAACTTGTTTAAAATCAGGAAGAAAAAAAATCAAAACTAATGGTAGGACTACATTGCTTTATCTCTCTCGCACTGTCTCTGACAGCTTCAAGCAGCAATTCGTCACACCAAAATCTAGTACGGAGTACCTAATTGGACGACGGCTAGGTCGAGAACACGATTCCAATTTGTTGTCGGTCAATAAGATTTGGGGCAAAAGTAAACTGGATCTTGATTCTACATGGGCATGGTGATGAACGATGTCCGTGTCTGGTACTACCTACCGGGCAGAGAAGCCAGATCCCCGGGCACCGTCCGCATGGCTCCTCTGCAGATCGAGGAGAAAGCATAATCAGTCAGCCACGCGGGCGCAGATGCGGGAGAGAGATCTAGAGAGAAGAAGGCGACGACGGCGTACGGAGTGGTGGAGGAGCCGCCTCGCTGGTCCTCCTGCGCGGATCGGGCGTGAGGAGAGCCTCCCCGCGGCGAGGAATCGAAGCGGCGACATGTTTGCAAGCTCTGATCTCCCTCTCTCCGTCCGCCCGGTGTTCGAGCTTGGGCTGTTCTTATGAGGAAAAAAAAATACTTGGATCCTAAATAAAAAAAAACATCATTTTTAAAAAAACTCACCTCCATTATACGGACAACTAGACCATGATGGCGCGCGTTGCCGCGCCCGTCAATTTTTCAGTCAAATGATACAAATTTTCAATAAACGTATGAAACATGGGACATAACATAGTATAGGGGATGAAAAAATATGCGTTCGGACTTTAGACCCAACTATTCATAATGAAATAAAAGGCACCGTAATACCACACAAAAAGCTTAGATAAGATTAAAAGGAAAATTGGGTCGTAGGCTAATTTGATAACAAAACGGACACCTCATAGAGAAAACTGCTTATAATCGCCCAAATAAGATAATTGGTTCGTGTTTGCGTGGTACCTCTGACTCCATAGACATCTATTAACAACCCAAAGAGCCAACACTTCAATCAAGTACAACTTTATCATGCGATCCTAACCTGCAGATTTATATAGTACATTGTAAATAACTAATATGCATGTAACGGCTTCAGTCATATACATGGAACCCAGAATTTACCTTCTATGTCATGTCAACTGGTTGAAACGGGGGAAACAAATTTAGGAAAGAAAGACTAATGAAAACGTGGCTAACTCCTGTTAACTAAAGAAAAATCGTGAAGTTGATAATTGCCTGAAATGACATATGTGTAACAACCAAAACCACCTTATAATTTAACAAAAACAAACATGATGTGATCAACAATAAGCCTGCCAGTCCCCACATCGACTTATGAACACGCACAAACGTTTCTGTCAGGCCCCAAACCTAGCACAATCAAGATAGTAGTGTACTGTGGGGATGGTAATGGTTCGGAGGGTGTCCAAGGAGATGTGGATGAGGTCAGCAACTCAGCATACATGTGGAGGTGCTAGCGGAGATCCATGGCGACAGGCTCGCAGCTGTCTGGACGGCTGGGAGTTAGTCAATATAGGAACAAAAATTAACAGAAAAGCTGCACAAGTTCAACAACGCAAAAACCACTCTGTCTCTCTCAGTTCTTCTTTGAAACTCATTAAAGTTCTTGCTCCTGTAGCGATTCCAGCAACTACACAACTCACGAGGAGTCCATGAAAGTTGGCAAATATGAATCGGTGAAGGAGGTGGTGTCGTGGACGGCAGGGAGAGGCCACTTGCTAGAAGAGGCAGCACAGACGGCGATGTGTTTGTTCACAGACAGAATAGGTATCGCCCTCGATCGACACCTCGGCGGTGAGAATACGGAGGTAGCGAGGCGATGACTCAAATGGGCTAGGAGAGAGTATGGATGATGAGGAGGAGGAGATCGCCGCGAGGGGAGCGCATGGTCGTGGTCGGGAAGAGGAGGCGCCGCCGTGAGAGGAGATGAGGGGTCCTCGATCGATGGAGGAAAAATTGAAAGAGCAATGACACTAGGTCGGGTTCGCGACTTCGACTGGACCTGGGCCTTTACAACCCGATTATGGACAGAAGCTGGAGGTCATTCAGCGGAGCAGCGGCCCGCGAAACGTTGGGTGGGGCAAGTGAACGACGTGGGATGACGTAGTTAATCTAGAACGTACGTTAGAGCCATCCGATGGCTGAGACGCTCAAATCGCTGTGGAGGCTCGTAACTAGCTGTGTTATACTGTTTTTCAATTTGCCCAAAACGCTGAACGGCTGATTCGAGCGGTTTGAGTGAAAACCTAAAGTCCGGGCCACACTGGCCAGGTGCCACGTGGCCCAGGTCGAGACGGCGCCCGTCACTTGCTGTTAGACGACATCTACATAGTAGACAAACCCAGTCGAACAGAACCCGTTCGGGCATTCCGCTCTTCCCCTGGCCCTCTCTCCTCGTGTACGTTTTTCTACTTCGTTGCTGATGTCGTCCATGTTGTCGGTAGCGGCATCAGCCATGGTTTTCTGAAACAATGACAAGAGAAGCGACGAGTCTCTGCCCTGAGAATCTGCCCTTTCCCCCTCCCCTCTCGACCCATACGACTCGCGAGCCTATGTGAGTTTCTCTTCTCTCACAATTAGGTTATTTATTTATTATTTAAGGTTCGATCTCTTCGGTTTGATTTTGAATTTGAGGCTCTCCTCTGTTTTAACTATTGTAGATCCTAGAGACCATTGTGGACATAAACGGTGCGGCATTGTTGCTGGAGGTAGGACGTACAATCGTAAGGCGCCAGTGGAAAGGGTAGTCGTATTTGACAACACCAACACTGACTGTAGGTTTTATGGGTGCATTGAGGAGGTTAGGCCTTCCACAACGCCGACGCTTGGGCCAAGCGCTAGGAGCAAATTCTTGGGCGTTAGATGTGATCCTTGGCCAAAACAAGTAAATTAGCTAGCATCGAGGCCAAAAAAAAATCCTGAGGCGCCTAGACTTTTTCGTCGCACGCTATAGCCAACATGTCAATTCTTTCTAATTGATGTAGCGTCTGCTGGCGTTGAAAGGAGAGACTCTAATATGTATGTTAAGAGAGTTTTTTTTATTTATCTTCTGTTAGCGTCTACTCAAGCGCTGAGCGTTGGGGATGGCTTTAGGAGCTCTGAGTGCAAACCCTATTCCACTGTCATAGCAAAGATCATGGGGACAAATACCACATGGGCCATGGTGATGGAAGGTCATTTTAGAGTTGTCACCATTTTCTTTTCTTTGTTCTATCTTTTTTTTTGTTCCTTTTTCATTGGTTTTGTTCCTTTTTCTTCTTTCATGGTACCCTTTCTAAGTTTTATGTCTCATTTTTCTTTTCAACTTTTCTGTAATATATATGAACATTTTCAAAATATATGAGAATTTTAAAATTCATCAACATCTTTTAGTTTCATGAATATTTCTAAAATCGTTGAATGTTTTTAAATGTGTGAAAAATTTAAATGCACACACTTTTTTAAAAGTTTTAACTTTCAATAAAATCCATATTTTTAAAAATAATTTTAAACATTTTATGATTTTTGAAAAGGAACTATTTTCGATTGTTATCCTGCAACCGTTTTTTCCAGTAGCTTTTTGCGATATAAAGTTTTTATTTTTCAGACAAGATAAAGTTTTATACCCGAAGGAGCCGGTTCCGCTCCAGTCTGGAGGAAAAGAGATACCCGAAGCCGAAGGCCCAAGACAGGCCCACGCGGCGAGCTGACGGCGTTCCTTCCGGACTTCCGGAGCCGTGCCTCGCCGCTGGCCGCCCCTCGCTCCAGCCGCCCGAGCGCTCTCTCCCCTCGGCCCCCAGCTCCCCCGCCGCGCCCGCCTACGAATTACCGCAAGATGGGCGGCGGGAGGAAGCGGCGCAGGCGCGACGGCTCGGACGCGCCGCCGGTGATGCACCCGCGCAACCGCTACGCCGCCGCGGCGCCGGACTTTGCGGCGCTGGCGTCGCTCTACCCCTCCTTCGCCCCCTTCGTCACCGTCTCCGGCGGGGGCCGCGCGTCCGTCGACTTCACTGACTTCGCCGCCACGCGGGAGCTCACGCGCGTCCTCCTCCTCCACGACCACGGCGTCAACTGGTCCGTGCAACCTGCTCTGCTCACCTCCTCCTCCTCCTCCGGCCCCCTTCCCCTCAAACCCTAAGATGCATTCTGCGCTGCTCCGTTACCGACTGTTCCTGTTCGGCCGAGCTGCTTGTCTCTTTGCTGTTGTGCTGGTGGGGAATTGCAAGGGCGCTCCTGAATTCAGCTAACTGTGGCAACAAACTCACCTGTAATCTGACATAACTGCGCTCATGCCACTCTTGGAATGGAAGTTCTGAAGTGACTTCAGGGCTTGGAGGTTATCAAGTCTTTGTGTGCATATTAGTGCTGTATATTAAGACAGCATTTCGTAATCTCCAAGAGATCATTTGATTTATCTTGCTGTGGTGCTTGCATAGTAATAATAGTAAACAAGTAACGGAGCCGTTTTGTTACAACAAAAATCTGCCGAAAAGGGTCTTCAGAGGAAGTATATGCTGCTCATTGCATTATTGTTCAGCTTCATGAGCACTTCTGCCGGGAACTTATGCAGAGAGTAGTCCATGTAAAAGAATGGTGCTCAACGTGCACATCAAATGCCCTAACTAGATGCCTTTATTCTCACTTTGGTCTCGCTATACAACACATTGTATTTTTTCGTGGCGCTGTGCCAAATCGATCCACTTACCATTTCTGTTAACACATTTCAGTAAATAATTTACATGTTGTTTTCATATTTGAATTGTTTGCTGCATGAAATTTGTATAAGCAAAGTTCAAATAGAATTACTGTTTAGCACAACTGGCTGCTCCCACTTTTGCTAACAATAGGAACCACTTGATTTTCAAAAAAAATGTTGAAGCTTATGTTCTGTGCACACTATGTCCTCACATGTTCTATTTTTGAAGGAACTCATGTGTTCTTTTCTAATTATCACGCACTAAGGTTAGTGGTCAATATCACATTTAACATGTGAGCATGATGTATGTTGTTGCTACTGTCAGGTGGATTCCGGATGGACAGCTTTGTCCTACTGTTCCTAACAGATCCAACTACATCCATTGGATTGAGGATCTTCTCTCTTCTGATCTCATACCACGAATATCCAACTCAAGTGAGACAGTGAGGGGTTTTGACATAGGCACGGGTGCCAATTGCATCTACCCTCTCCTCGGAGCATCGTTACTGGGCTGGAGCTTTGTTGGATGTGGTATGCTTTTATCCTGTGCACTAGAAGTTTCATGATGCATAAACTAGGAACTGCTTAGTGACCTACTTAGCTAAATTGGAAGGATCCATGCTCAGTTGGATATTTTTTTTGTAGATGTGACTGATGTTGCTCTTGAATGGGCTAAGAGGAATGTGGAGAGCAACCCACATCTAGCAGGTCTAATAGAGATCAGAAATGCAAATGAAGCACTCTGTTCTTCGAAGTCTGAAACAGTTGTTGAGGAAGCTGTCAGGGAGAACACTTCAGAGCCAGTGGACAGTATGGTGAGATCAATAGCACCTATTTTTGTCGGTGTTGTGAAGGATAGTGAGAGCTTTGACTTCTGTATGTGCAATCCACCTTTCTTTGAGAGTATGGAGGAAGCTGGCCTTAACCCAAAAACTTCTTGTGCTGGAACTGCTGAAGAGATGGCTTGCCCTGGTGGCGAGCAAGCCTTTATAACACATATAATTGAAGACAGTGTTTCCTTTAAGAACTCTTTCAGGTGATTCATATCTGATGTTACAGCGGTCATAGTAGTATGTCATTTATTTCAGTTGTTCATGATTTATCTGAAATTTTTTAGGTGGTTTACATCGATGGTTGGCAGAAAAGCAAATCTAAAACTATTAGTATCCAAAGTCCGTGAAGCTGGGGCCTTAGTTGTGAAAACTACTGAGTTCGTGCAAGGACAAACAGCTAGATGGGGCCTTGCATGGTCGTTCATTGCTCCAAGAAAAAATGTTATAAGATCCAGTACACCCGGAAAAGTCCACCATTCTTTCATGCTTCAGGTGGGCATCATGTCACCTTCCTTGATCATGCACTTTTGTTGCTTATAACTCCTAAGTGTAGTTTGCTATAACTTTGGTTTTAGTGGTCTCTATCATAAAGATTCCTGTTCTTCAATGAGATAATTCATCTTTGAGACAACTATCTTCTCTAGTTCTCCTTATTAGTGCGATCTTTGCATCACAGATACTCCTTCCGTCCCAAAATAAGTGTCTCAACTTTGTACTAGCTCTAGTACAAATTTGTACTAAGCTCAAGACACTTATTTTGGGTCGGAGGGAGTATCATTTAATTAGCATGCCTTAAATGTTATATCTCATCATTATTTGTAACATTTCTTCATCCTTGTTGACCTTGCAGTAAGGTTGAATTAGAACTGCTGGCTAGCCTGCCATAAAAATCTATCGGTCTCCTTTCCTATTCTTTACAGAATAACCTATAGTTATGTTTAATTCTTTTTATCGCTACTCTGCTAGCACTATGTTTCTCTGTAGCTTTTGTACTTTAACATATGCTCTCTCCATAATGAATTTCAGGGTCTCCGGCGTGGAAATGGTGCGTTTCAGGTGTTGAAGTCAGCTGAGGCCTTTTTCTGTGCATCTAATCTATCATGTAAAACCGATTCTGTGTCATTTTCTATTGATGTAAGAATCCTATTAATCTTCCACCTGTTCGTTTTCTGTATAACATCAGGACAGAGACCCACACTGATATGTCCTTTTCTTACTTAAGTGAAGTCTTAGTATGTCAATCCCTTGCTAAGTGTTGTATGAAATATCTCTGTTTAGGTTACATTGTCAGATGGGCAGATTCAGGCTGCAACATTGGATGGTGATGACCTTCCTGGTTCTGTTGAAGACAACACTACGAAGCTGCATAGCACTATTACAGGAGCATCCTTCCGTATTTCGGTATGTTGATAACATATAGTATACTACTCATGTGGTACTTATATCTACTTTGCCTCACAAACAATTTATAAATTTACTTCTGCATAGGTGTTTGAACAGATGCCTGGCACACTGTTAATCAAAGGCTCATTATTGAACAAGTCACTGTCAGGTACCCTTTGTTCTTTATGTGAAAAATGTCACTTTTCTCGGACAAACTCGGAGACACCTTTTTGGTTTGCTTCAATACATGGCATGCTTATATTTACTTTACCTTGTATTTTTTATGTTTCAGTTTTTACCACTTTTCCCATAAGTCCGAGCCTAGATTCCCATTGTATTACAACGGAGAGAGAGAGAGAGAGAGAGTTCCGGATACAAGTTAACCACACAAGCCTATATACTTACCGATTAGTATGTATGGAGTTTCTGGGCAAACATGCCACGAGGCACAAAACAAGCAAACTACCAAAGTGACAGTCTGACATGGAAAATGCTGTAGCATTAGCATGTGCTACTTTGCAAAGTTATGTTGGTTCCTGTAGTGATGGCACTGTCCTGGCAGTAGTTGTCTATCCAGTAGCAGTGGTACTGATGCGTAGCTGGCTCTGGACAGCTGGTAGTGGCTAAAGGCACGATGGAGACATGATAGATGACAATTGGACGGGCTAGTGACCATTGTGAGAGGTTGGGCGGCTGGTCTGCAGGAGGCAGAGCCTGTAGATCCGGAGCATATGCATGGTGTGTTGGTTTTGGAGGTGCTTCCTTCATTATTGATCGCCATTGCCATTGACAAGAACATGTAGATGATCTCAAAAGTAAATAAGATATCAATTGTCATATTCAGGTTGCATGAAGCCAACATATGCTTACATGACGCTCCGTGGCGCGTCTGCATTGCATTTTACTCATTCTGCACAAACCATGCTCTCGTAGTATTTTGCTCATTCCCGCACCATCTCCAATGGACTGTAAAACCAGCAGCAGCAGAGTCCAGCTGTGATCATGAACCAAATACCACCTCCGTATGATAGTCTGTCATACATATTGCGCCGAGAGCTTCTTTGCATCGTTACCGATGGACAAAGGTCGAGCTGACTTTAAACGACAGTGATGCTGAACCACTGGTATTCTGTTTGCAGGTACCTTCACATCATTGTTCTCCCAGCTGGAGGAGACGTTGAGGACGGAGTTCATCATCAAGGACCGGTAGCTCAAGAGTCCATCCACCATCAGGTGGACCTTAATCATGAACAAACGGATCAGGCTATTATTCTAACCTCTGCTGTCTTTGAACTCTTTTTCAACGCCAAGATATGTGAAGCGTGGGCATCACGAGACTTGACAGCAACGGCCCCGGCGGCCGGTGGCGGCCACGAGCAAAGCCGTCACCGAAGGCGGCCTGCACTACGCCCCGATTCCATCTTTCGCGCCGATGCCTACCAGCATGTTGTGTTGCTGTCATGGCGCCCCGTCGCTCGTCCGGATCTCGAAAGCGACTCCGGCGACGTCGACGACGCCCGCCCGTTCGAGAACCTCGCCTTTGCTCTTTTCCAGATTCTGCACACACGAGAAACGAACCTCTCTTCTTTTGTTGGCGTGGGCGTGTGTCGGCGTCCGTCATGTGGAGATGCGCCGCGTCTGGCTCCGGTGGTTTGTTTGAGTTGCGCGGTGCAGGATGGGAACTGCCATTTTGCGGTTGACGTGTTTCAGATACGCTTGTGCTAGCAGTCCGGCAGCCGATTTTGACGGGCGCCTTCTGTTCATCGGCTATGCCATATATCTTTCGGCCGCCCTTTGTTTTTTCTTATCTACTTATTAAAAAAAAAATGAAACTCCATGGGCACTAGCACCCACGGTTTTATTGATATAGAAGAAGCATCCCTCATGAGAATTCCAGAAATTCGTCCCCGACGCGGATCGAACTCTGGTCGTTAGGTTTACAATCATGCGCCCCCAACCACTGGGCTATGCCCACGTCCTCCTTATCTACTTATTATTAGTACCCAAAATCTAGAGCGATAGCTTTATCGTAGTACGTATTAAATGGTCGGGTAGGCAGGCAGCATTGCAGTGGCCTACATGGAGAAAGCTTTCGTGCAGAGTACACAATTTTTTTTGGTTTATTTATTGAACGCAACGCAAAAAAAAAATCTGGCGCCGTACGTAGCCGGGTTGAACTTCGCCACGAACCCCCATGACTGTTCTATGACCGCTCTTTTGTCAGGGGCCAGTCAAAGCCGTCGTGCACCATGATGACTCTTCTAGCGGCCTGCCGTATTTTTCCATGGCCTTGTACCTTTTTTTGGCAAAAGATTTCAAAGCTGTCACGGTCGATTCTCTTCTACTGATATCTACAAGTAGTCATCACTGGTTAAAAAAGAAACTAATATGGCAAAATTTAGTATTACTCCACCAGCTACAAAGAAATCAAGAATATTTCTGTCATCCATACCCCTTTCGTCTTTAAAAGAATAACACAGATGCATATGTGCGTTTATGTGAGCATCTGCGTTGTACTATGTTAAAAAAAACATGTAGGTTTGAAGTTATTTCTTGTGGTTCATTCAATTGAATATCAAATTGTAGCTGCAAACTATTTGAAAACTGCATGTTATAATACCACACGACACTTATGTGAAATATATCTAGCACATTTACTTCTAGGTACCTGGTATTGTAATTTTGAGTAGCTAGTATGGTATATAAGACAAACATATTATGAACATGTTGTGGGAGACTTCAACAAAAGTCTTTTGTCTCACTACTTACCAAATTACAATAGAAATCGGAATTTCCGATTTAATTCTAAGACCGTGCAGCGGCGAGTCCTCGGATAAAAAAAATCCTACCTTCCGGCTTTCATTCTCATCTTACGACCCCCGCACACAAAACCAACAAATAAACATAGTTAAAAGAAACTTATGTGGCAAATCAGACCTACGCACATACCATCCGTCGAGGGAAAAGGAAAAAATGAAAAACACACAATCGGCTTGCTTGCCCGCTCGCCTTCCTCTTCTCTCTTCTCTCTTCTCTGTTGATCCCATCACCCCATGGATACAGTTCTCTCGTCCTCTTGAATGTGGCAAGAGATGAAGATGGACTTGCTGACGTGAGGTCGAGCACCGTGAAACATGCCTGATCGATCTTGCTACATACGAGAGCCTCCCGACTTCGGGGATTTCCCTCTCACGCATGAGCTTCACAGTGACGTCGTCAAGCATGGTGACTAGAGGAGATTGACCGTTCGTCGCCCCCACGTTAGAAATGGCCTGAGGCCATGAAACCGAGATAGGATCCATGTATGAAAAGTATGGACTTTGGTGGACTTGCCTCAGGACCGACGGGCCATTGAGAACAAATGGTTCTTTAAGAAGAAGACAAACGCTGATGGTAATGTCACCGTCTATAAAGCTCGACTTGTCACAAAGGGTTTCTGTCAAATTCAAGGAGTTGACTACGATGAGATTTTCTCACCTGTAGCGATGCTTAAGTTTGTTAGAATTATGTTAGCAATTGCCGAATATTTCGATTATGAAATCTGGCAGATGGACGTCAAAACAGCGTCCCTTAACGGTTTTCTTAAGAGTTGTATATGATGCAACCGAAATGTTTTGTCGGTCCTAAGTATGCTAACAAGGTATGCAAGCTCCAATGATCCATCTATGGACTGGTGCAAGCATCTCGGAGTTGGAATATACGCTTTGATGAGATGATCAAAGCTTTTGGGTTTATACGAAGTTTATGAAGAAACTTGTATTTAGAAGAAAGTGAGTGGGAGCTCTATAGCATTTCTAATAGTACATGTGGATGACATATTGTTGATTGGAGATGACATAGAATTTCTGGAAAGCATAAAGGGTTGTTTGAAAGGAGTTTTTCAAAGGAAGACCTGGGTAAAGCTGCTTATATATTGGGTGTTAAGGTCTATAGAGATAGATCGAGATGCCTGATAGGACTTCCACAAAGCACATACCTTGACAAGATTTTGAAGAAGTTCAAAATGGACCAGTCAAAGAAGGGGTTCTTGCCGGTGTTGCAAGGTGTGAAGTTGAGTAGGACTCAAAGTCCGACCAAGGCAGAAGTAAGAGAAAGGATGAAAGTCGTCCCCTATGCCTCAAACATAGGCTCTATAATGTTTGCCATGCTATGTACCAAACCTGCTGTGTGCCTTGCCATATGTCTGGCAAGTAGGTATCAGAGTGATCTAGGAGTAGATCACTGGACAACGGTCAAAAATATCCTTAAGTACCTAAAGAGGACTAAGGAAATGGTTGTCGTTAATGGATGTGAAGATAAGCTCGTCGTAAAGGGTTACGTCGATGCTAGCTTTGACACTGATCTGAATGACTATAAGTCTCAATCAGGATATGTATTAAATGATGGAGTAGTTAGCTGGAATAGCTTCAAGCAGAGCATTGTAGACATAGAGATTTGCAAAGAACATATGGATCTGAATGTGGCAGACTCGTTGACTAAACCTCCTCCACGAGCAAAGCATGATCAACACCAAGACTCCATGGGTGTTGGATTCATAACTATGTAAACTAGACTATTTACTCTAAGGCAAGTGGGAGACTGTTAGAAATATGCCCGAAAGGCAATAATAAATTGGTTATTATCATATTTCCCGTTCATGATAAATGTTTATTATTCATGCTAGAATTGTATTGACCGGAAACTTAAATATATGTGTGAATACATAAACTACACCATGTCCTTAGTAAGCCTCTACTAGACTAGCTCGTTGATCAAAGATGGTTATGATTTCCTGACCATAGACATGAGTTTTCATTTGATAACGAGATAACATCATGAGGGGCATGATGTGATGGACAGACCCAACCGCAAGCTTAGCATCAGATGTTTACTTATTTGCTACATCTTTCAAGTATTAGTTCCTTAGACCATGAGATCATGCCACTCCCGGATACCTGAGGAATACTTTTTGTGCTATCAAACGTCACTTCATAACTGGATGATCATAAAGGTGCTCTACAGGTATCTCCGAAGGTGTTTGTTGCACGATACGCGTTGGTGCTATACAAACGGTTTTTAACCCCTTCCGCGATGGCATTTGGAACCATCGCCAAGTGAGTGTGGGCAATGGGGGGGAGGGTCCTTCCCACACGACCCAGAAACCGTCGGGGATAGGGAGCCAAGATGCATATACAACACTCCTACTCGTTTGTACTCGCATTGCCACCGCAGTCAGTATTCTATGGTGCTACGTTTACGATACATGGCCCATCACAAACGGTTCACTATAATACACTATTGCAGGATGCTGCTAACGCGACACTACGATCAGAGACCCTTTGATGAAACTGTGTGCGATGCAATAATCGCAAACGGTGGTGTGAAAGAATAGTCAAAAAAGGTGCAAAATGTTTGCGATGGCGGATACATCAAACACGGTTCAGATTTTAGTTACGTGTGTGATGCTGGGCATACGGTTGATTCAGCAGAACTGTTTGCGATGAGGAAGAGCAACAGAAACGGGCAGCCATATCAATGTGTGTGCGATATACGACATACAGTTCCCTTTGATGAACTGTGTGCTATTAAGGAATGCAATAGAAACGGCCAGCCAAATCAAGGTGTGTGTGATATACGACATACAGTTCACTCGGACAAACGGTTTTTGATTAGGCAAGAGAATGAAAAGGGTTCATCTTTACAAGATGTGTGTGATATGCGGCATTTGCGATCAGCCAAAAGAACACAAACGATTCGTGTAAACCGGATGTGTGTGATACGCAGCAAACAGCCCACTCGGATGAACTGTTTGTGATGATAAATTATAACACAGATGGTTACTATAGTAAGTTCGTGCGTGATTCTGTTCGTACAAAAAACTTTGAAAAATGCAAACTAGTTGCTTGCGGTGGCTAGGAGTATCACACACGATGCGTCTGCGAGTACTCATGTGCGATGATCAGTAAGTTACACATAATGAACGGCCGCAAGGGTGATATGGTGATCATGGTGTCCGAGAAGACCGTCGTCGGAAGGCCGCCGGCTCAGCTTTTTAGCCTATACTTATTATAATTGTATGCATAAGTAGGTCGTGAGTGTTTTGTGCCTTGACGCATGTGGCATTTTAAATTATCCTGAATATGTAAGACAATTATTAACCGTTGCCATTGTAAATTTGCCTCAACGACGAGAAGAGCGCGCACAGGGACGCCACGGACCCGCAAAAAAAAAGCAGGGACGCCACGGCAAGCAACCACGTGGTCAACCTTCTCGCACCCCGTGGGAGACGTGATGACGCATCCATAGGACACGATGGTGGTATCATGACCGTGTGTGATAGTGGGCAGACACGTACACGTACAT